AAATTTGCTCCAGGTAAGGCCCATTTCGGACATATCATGATTACAATCCTACGTCAAGAATCTCGATTGATTCATATCGAAACTCCAGTAGAAACCCTACCAGTTCGCCAAACTCTCAGCCAGGACCAATACACACAAAAAATTGATACATTGTCACATTACTTCTTCCAGTATTGGAATCCAATGTGGTGTAGGGACTCTCCGGAAGAAGCTGACACACTTAATCCCTGGCGTGAAGTCATTGATGAAGTGATGCAACATGTCCCCCCACAACCACGTGTTGACCTAGTTTGGGATGACCCCGCGCTTATCCGGCAAACTATAGGTCGTCTAAAATCTTACAAAGCCCCAGGCTTTGATGGTTGGAGGGCCCAAGAACTTAAGCTACTGCCACCGACGGCTATAGATGATCTCGCTAGTATTTTTCAATCCATCTGGCCAACAAATTTTACGTCTAATCAGATGCTAGCCAGAGTTATCTTGTTAGCAAAAGTGCAGTCCCCCGAATCATTTTCCGATGGAAGACCCATTACGATCCTCGGCTACCTGCCTAGATTATCGTCTAAGTTAATTGCCGATCAATTGTTGGAGGCATGGAGTAAAACATGGGACCCAGGTATCGCAGGCGGCCTCCCCTTTCGGGCAGTCAAAGACATTACCATTCAACAACAATATATACTTGAAAAAGCTCACACCACAAATCAACCCGTTGGCGGCTTTACACTTGATTTGGTCAAAGCCTTTAACCTTATCCCACGCCAGGTTGTTCGACAGTTGCTAATACATTTTGGAGCCTCCGATGCCGCTATCTCTTTCTGGATTCGTTCCTTAAACAAGATGCAGCGAATGCTTCAGATTCGATCACAATTTAGCACTGCACAGGGATCTACAACCGGGGCTCCAGAGGGCGACGCCTTATCTGTTTGTGCTATGTTAACTATCGCCGCTGCGTTTTTCCACCGTATGTCCCATGTCCCAGTTCGGCCTTTTACATACGCTGACAACTGGACTTTTTTATCCACTTCTCAAAGGGCCCTGTTCCGGGCCATGATTTCGACGCTTAATTTTACCAGCGCATTGCGGATGAAAGTAGACATCCATAAATCTTGGGGCTGGGGAACGTCTAAAGAAATGAGGCAGTTTTGGAAAAGTACAGAGCCACTCTTTGAACATGATCAACTATCCATCACAGTTAAGCAAGCATCTAAGGACTTAGGATGCATGCTCCAATACTCAAAGAAGGTGGTTCTAGGATGTATTAAAGATCGAATGCAAGCGGCCGGTCGCAGATTGGGTCGACTAGCCAAACAACAAATATCACTGCGTGAGAAATCTAGCAAAATTCAAACAGCTGCTTGGCCCCTGGCCTTTTACGGGGCAGAGAGCCAACTGGTTGGTGACGTTCATTTTTCTAAACTTAGACGCCAGGCATCCGATGTTTTGGTGGGCCCTCATAAGTATGCATCCTCATTCCTGGCATTGCATGTGCTTAGTGATCGAGTTGAGGACCCTCTCCTGTACGTCATCGCCACTGCCCTGTGTAGCTTTAGGCGTTTGTTCCATTATCATCCTCATCTCGCTGCCGAAATGTGGCGTGTATTTGTACTAATCCACCATGTCACGGACCCTGCGGGGCTTTGGCTCGCTACCTGGAAAAAGTACACTGGCTTCCACAACCGGATGGTGTTGTCCAGATGCCCAGCGGCCATGAAGTTTTCTTGCGTGTACAATCAACCAAGGAAATCCGTTATGTTCTGAAAATGGCCTGGTCTTTTTTTGTTTTTCAACAAGTTCAGCATCGTAAGGGAGTGACTCTCCAGCCTTTCGACTTCTATACTCAAACTAAAGCTGTTCAAAAATTGTCTGATGCCTCCCTCCGTTTAGTGGCATTAAACCTGACAGGAGGTTTCCAGACCGGGGCCACAAAAGCTCTATGGGATGCCACAGCCTCTATGTCATGCCCCTTCTGCGGCGAGATAGACACACATGAACATCGGCTTTTACAGTGCAAAGAATTTCAGCATTTTCGGGATGGACATCCATCTGCCATTCAAATACTATCGTGCTATCCAAACCTGTTGTGGTTACCTTTAGCCACTAGTCATACACAGCAAATCGTCTATAATCGTCTCAAATTGGGTCGCTTGGGTCCCTTTCTTGACCAACCCTTTTTGACGCCGCAAGAGCACTGTGTTTTTTATACAGATGGTACATGTGATAAGCCCAGGGAACAAAATTGTTGCAGAGCTGCTTGGGCTGTTGTCCAACATGTTCATCGATCTCCTTTAGATCCTTCTCCTGCAGACTTTGTCGTTACGCAAACCTCGCATACAAAAGGGTCTCAATCGATCAACAGAGCGGAACTAGAGGCTGTCGCCTGGTTGGCGCAATACTTTTACCAGCATCAACCTGCCCAGTATATGTCCGTCTTCTCAGATTCTAGCTTTGTGGTTAAAATAGTCAATGCAATCGCAACTGGTAAGCTGTCAGGGAAGACTCATCAGTTAGCTCATGCTGACCTCTTACACATACTTCAGCAATGTTGGAACCCCCTTTTTCATCACATCCACAAAGTCAAATCCCATCGGAAGAAAGAGGATGCAGAAAACTTGAACGACCTGTACACAATTCTTGGAAATGACCTAGCAGATGAAGTTGCTAAAGAAGTTAATTCGCGCGACCTGCCCGCCTTGTTGCATGCTACCCTGGTTATTTCAGAACACTCCAAACAGCAGATTGATTCGTTGTTCTCCGTTTATCTGTACTTGGCCGAACTTAACTCATTACATTCCCAATTGAAATTGCAAAAAGAGCATCCTGTTGGTTCTCAACAGGCAAATGCCTCGGTGGATGAATATGCTAACTTTCACGCAATCTTGAGCAATTGGTCCATTGGAGATAACCCATGGAGTTTTGACTCCGATCTACCAGAGGTGGTTGCCCAGGCCTGTCCCGCCGGTGCTCATATTGCCTTTAATGTGTGGCACCTTTTTCGTAAATTTAAGTGGCGAGATCCTTCTCTTCCGAGACAAGATTCCGATTTTGGCATCACATGGTTCGAATTAGCAATATGTTATGCTGTTAACTTTGGGTCTTTTCTGCCGCTCTGGATTTACAACGGTACCAAAAAACGTGCAGTTCCGGTTGCTTTTGACTCTTCCGAAGCCAAAGTTCAAAAACCAGAAGCTCGCAGTATTTGGCACCAGGCCAATAATCTCCGGGCCGTGGTCCGCTACTTGGAAAACACGCTCCAGTGTCAAATTTTCCCACGATACAAGAAAACTGGCGCCTCCTCTCTAGTTCGCCTTGGTTATCATCTGCGCCTGGTTGGGGGGATTTCCTCTCGTCCTGAAGTTCCGCATGCTACTCTACTCATGGAAAATTTGGCACATTACTCTTCCGTTGCGCACCAGCCCTACCCCCTTAACGTTCGACTTGAGATGCCCTTGATATCGCACGGACCGTCACCGGTCATGTCCCCTTTCGCGTCCATTTCTTTTGATGAGGGGCAAAAATTATACCAAAAAGTGAAGAAATGCCTTCGTTCCAAGCAAAGCTTTGCTACAATATCCTTTTCCTCGTGAAATGCTGAGCGCTTGAATTTGTAATTCACCTTGTGTAATGACCGCGTCTTATACCGGTTGTTCCGTGGGTGGTGTGCATGTTTTGTCATATATTCTTCTTGGGTACATACAAACCCTTGGGTACCCCACCTATGTGGAAGGACCTTAAGGGGCGAGGACGGACCGCTCGCAAGTTGGTTTGGGGCTTTATATCCCTTTTAGGTGCGTGGGTTGAAAACGACACCTGCGGAGCTTGACCCATTGGAGCCCTGGCAGGTTTACACATTCGTAGATATGTCCAGTAGCATGAAGAATTAGCAGTAGCACCCTGCAGCGGCGCCAGCACCCAAGCTCCAAAGCGCACATGGACACGCAGCTAGTGGCGTCCAGGCCCCAAAGCGCACACAGGTTTCTCTTCTTATACTTGAACTAAGAACCCCAATAGCTCTCGTATGCGGGGAAACCACAGTCTAAAATCATTAAGCAGCGGCACCTGGGTAAATATGGTGGACAGCACATGTTTTAAACAGTGGTCTCAGACGGGTGGAGGCGAGCGCACTGAGTTCTCGATGAGCAGCATCTGGCTGCAATAACAAGTGCACAGAAGGAACACTGTGCTTCCGACTTCAAGCGTGTGGAGGTTCGACTGGCTGTCATGCCACGACGGTGTTGAGAGGACCTCGTGCCAGATACTGTTCCTCATGCGCAGAGCAGTCAAACTTCGATGCAGTGGACACGAAGGGGTGGAGATCAGACCGGTCCTGCAAGGGTTTGGGAGGCGGTCATTCCCCTCGCTCGGGAAGGCTGCCTGAGATGCTGTCCATTTGGTTTGACCTCTACGTGTCACACCTCCCCTCTTCCAATCAAGAGCTAATTAGTGAGTGTGCCATCAATGGGGTCTGTGTAATCTCCGAGCTGTATGAGGGCCGATGAAGTTCAACAAAATTGATTGCGGGCTGCATCAGATCGCTGAGCGGTTGAAAGGGATGGAGAAGTCTGCCGCCAAGTATGCCACATCGCTGATTGACTACTACTCCATCGATGGCGAGATCAACATGCTGCTGGTTGGGGCTAGACCATATAAGGGAACCACCTCTCTGCTGGCAGCACACCCCACCTGATCTTGAGCAGTGTGTGTGCGTACGTGCGTGCGTGCGTGCGTGCGTGCTTGTGCGTGTGCGTGCATGCAAGACATGGCAACCAACACATGAAATTGTGTGCATCCGCGCTGTGCCATGCAGATGCATGTACGTCTTGATGGTATTGCAATCGTTTTCTCACACAAACGCGGTGGCGCAGGCACATATATGAGTGTGCAAAATCTATGATGCATGAATGTATGAGTTTTCTCCCGTTCACTCATGGCCCTGCAGTCCTAAACTCATGACCCGTATAGGCCCAAATAAGAACTCGTCACGCTGGGGGCACTTGCGATAGGCCTTGACCTTTGGCCTGGTGCCCATCGGTCTCCTGGCCAATGCGTTTGGCGACAGGGGTGTCGCAGGCGGGAAGGATAGACGACCTCCCCATTTTTCGGTTGCAGTTTCCGTTTTTGACCCAAGACTACAAGGTTCCAAGTAGCCTGAGGATCGCAAATGGGACCCTTTTCGAGCAACAATATGGACATCGAAGGCACCCCTAACAGCCCCAATACTATCTCATGAAAGTCAGTGTTCGCAACATCGTCACTATGTACCAGTAATTATGGACAACCGAACTCAACCAACTCCACATGGCTTGGGAACCGATCTGCCAGCCGCGATCTGCCGGGGTCCGGTCTCGACCAAGGATTTTCTGGGATTTGTGGGTGAAAACAACATGTCATGAACCTCTCAAGCACCGGGATGCGCGACCCAACCCCATTCTTCGAGGTGTTTAGTTCTGGGTAGCTTAGACAGTCGGCCATTTTGCACATTTTGGGATGAATGTCCATGGTGTGAAATACATGGGCAAGTTTTTGGCTGAAGATCTAAAATAAGGTTTTGCCCAGATGCTCCAAACAGCCTCCAAACCTACGGATTGGTGAGAAACCCCAGACCCCGGAGGATTCGGGGCCGGCGTGTCGGTGATAGACATCTCACACTGACCAGGACCATAGAAATTGATGCATATCCAACTACCGCAGTGCCAGGCACTTTGCCGCAGTTCGGATTCCATCCACCATTTATCCAACAGCCTGAAGCCAGAACCATCATTGTTTTGCTGAGGGTTTTACACTACAAAACCAGGTGAATCATGTCTAAAATGGTCGAACTGATCGCTTTTGTATCTCTCCGAGCAAGATTCGTAGCTGTGGAAAACACTCCCTGTATGGCACCATGGGCCTGTTGGTTGGCCGTTGAAATTGTCCCTTTCAAGGGTGGGAACACTGTTAAGCACAGAGATCTCTCAAGACGTGTTAAGCAATCTGTTCCACACCTCTGTCAAAAATGTGTTGTTTTCATGTTTGTTCCAAGGAGCAACATGTTGGGGCTGAACTTCTCCGGGCCGAGATTGGTGCCTAAATGTCCGTTTTCCTGCCGAAGAGATGGCTTTCCCACACTACAGATGGCTATACCGGCCATACCCCATTTGTTGCGCCATGGTTCCAGGCCAGGACCCAGGTCAGGTACATCAAAGTGGATAAGAACCAACCCAAACACGCCGGTCCAACGACGGGTTCTCGCGGGTCCAGTCCTCGGACCAAGGCAGCTTGGAACAAGGTCGCCTGGACAGACGTCTGACTAGAATCCTGGTTTCGTGTAAAGCCTTCCACAGTGAACAGAGCGAGTCCCTCGAGGCTGTTTTGTGTGTTTCGTTGGTGTTTCTTTTTTGGGCTCCCGACGGACAAACACATCACCGAGGGAACAAGAAGACGAACACACGCAAAACACCCGGGTGTTTTGGCTGGTACCTCACGAGGCTTTTTCACCTCCGACTCTGAGCCACCACCCTCAGTCCACCCAGAGGCCCGCGCCTGGTGTTCTCTCGGTGTCGCCGCTCGATCCGCCGCCGTGTCCGAGGCTTCCGTGTCTTCTTCATGTCCTTCGCCAGCCTCATCTTCCAAGTCGGCCTTCAAACAGCACCCTGGCGCGCGTGATGGGCGGTGCGGGTGGGCGAGTCTGGCACAACGACATGGGTCTTCCAGATGATCTCTTAATAGAACAAGGGGCGATAAGGTGACGCCTGTTCGCATCAGGTTCCTGTGACGTCTAACCCTGACAGGGCAGAAGCATGTTGGCAGTATTTGGCAGTGAACGCCCGCGTTCTTGCTCCATTTCATGTTGCACAACTCCTAATTACACGTCGTGGCAGTACCTTCTTCCCCCCTCCACACGCAAGTAAGCTTGCAAAATTGACGTGGTCCATGATTCTAGAACATGCTGATTTCATTTTTGGGTGTCCAAAACAAAGGAGAACAGTGATCATAAATGGCAGTGTGTCTAGGATGGTCTTGGGCACTGGAGAACTGTCAGCTTAACAAACCAAGTCGACACAGTCAACCCTGCAAGTGTTGAAGAGTCCAACCAGAAGACCCACCAGATGAAGCCAACATCCTTCAACCCAAAAGGATCGGCCCTTTCTGGGAGCATCTGGGACCCTCACATTTCGGCTTTTGGAGGGAGTTCCAGAACGCCTTTTCGGCCGAACGACCCCTTCGAGAGTTTCTCGGGTCGAAGGATTCGGGTCGTGTCTGGTTCGCCAAGGCGATGCTACGCCGGCAGACTTGACCCCGGCAGGGCAACAGACTTGCGCCAGCCCTCCGGGATGTGCTGGACAGAGCTGATAACCGCTGCATGGGGGTGCCATGACATATGCTTGACATGGCTGGGTGTGTAACACCCACCGGCTAGACTCCACATAGCTGATCGAAAGTGTATGTCAAAACACACATGGGGGTGTGGGGGTCAAACACTTGGATCTCTAAAGCCCTGGTGAGTTGCATCACATGCATACCCGCCTGTCGGGGCAAGGGGTGCATGGTGTGCATCTCGAGGTGCGTTGTTCCAATGAGTCTCTAAAACGTTGATTGACCATGTTTGGTAGTCCATTCTGTTCATTTCGGTCCGTTGGGCAAGGTCCGTGCCCGGTCCCTATCCACTAGAATGACCCAGGCCGCCAGCTTTCGAAAGGTGAGGCCAGATGGAGTCAAAGAGGTCCATTTGGGTTGGCTTCACATGCGCTGCACGTCCACGAGAAAACGAGAAAACGATCATGACATCCATGCGCTGCACGTCCAGGGCTTCATTCTCAGTCCAGGGCTTCCTGACATGCCGAAACCTGCTCCCATGAGTCGCTGCCGAAACCTACGAGAGCCGTCCGACGTGTTCCATGAGATCTTATGATGTTGCACGTCACGAAGACAACTCATTTGTTCAGATTTGTTCTCCTCAGATCCCACTGGCAGTCCCTACTTAAGCACTAAAGTTTGTGGCAGGAAGAAGGGGACGGGCTACTACCAGCCAACTAAGCGGCGTAGCCGAGAAAGCAAACAAAGCTGATCCTCAACGGTCTCAAAAGAGACTCGAGTTCTTGGCGACGTTCTCCCTTTCCCGACAGCTTTCCTTTGTTCTAACCCAATGAGTTCACCAGGTTCCCTCACACAAGCCACCCTGCAGCACAGCTTTGGACAGCCACAGACAGGGCGCCTGAAGTGTATAGTGAATTCATCGGAGCTGTGATGGTTGCCGGGCGGCGGTCGCGCGAAAGATGTGAGTCCTCACACGTGTTACCTTTGGATCTCTGTCCCAGCAATAGACGGGCGGTCTTTCCATGGTGACCTTGATTTGCAGAAACCGAGGGATCAAGAGGTCAAAGTCAAAGTTCTTCGAGATGCAGAATGCTGAAACATTTGTGGAGTTGCATTGGGACAATCTCTGGGACAATCATGGGGCATCAAAAGTGCTGCTTGAACATGTTCTTCTACACATGTCAGAGCTACCAGATCCTTGTTTTCTAGCACTGCACATGTGCACCAGCCACCCAAAACCCGGATATCACAGAGAGACCGTATTCTTTGGAATTATTGCAGCACATGAAAGACAAACCGTCGCGGATCAGTGAGTCATCATTTTTAGGGCTTTGCTTAAACTTAAGCTTAAACCAACAAAAGCGTGAATTGCCGCAAGGAAATTGAATAAGCTTTGTGACTCTGTTAACGTTGCGAGCTGTTTAGCCAAGTGCTTCTATGTACGTCTCAAGCAAATTGAAGTCTATCTTATAATGGCAGAACCTTGAAAAGAGGTGAACCACACTCCTTTCCTGGCACGGGAACCGTGCGAAATGAGAGACTGTGCACATACATACAAATGTTTGTGTTAGTAATAAGGCGGCAAAGGTAAAGGAGACGGAGCTAAAAAGGGCTATGAAAGTTGGAACAAAGAAGTCAGACATCGGAACCAAACCGCTCAGTCAACAAAGGAGGAAATTGTTACTGCACAAATGCCATGCAATCGATGGAGATGGCAACAGAGTCGGTGAGAAGGAAAGACAGGAAGTCGAAGAGAGACAGAGAGAGAGAGAGAGAGAGATGCAACGTGGCAAGATCCAAAGATTAGCCAAAGCACTCGAGAAGATTATGTATGCAAGCGGCCCGTGAGTCAGTGGCACAGGCAGAAAGAACTGAGATGACATTTCTCGCAATGGCAGTGGTTCTATTTGGTGTATTCCTGATCTGGAAGAAGTCCAAGAAGCTAGAGAAGAGGATGGAAGAAAATGCATTAGCTTTGAGGTTTCAGATCTTAGGATTGAGTTCAGCAAAGGACGAAATTGAGGAGACCAGACTTGAGTTCAAGTCCTATGTGATCAACCAAGGGCAATTTGATTCTATGAGAGATGATTATTGCCAACGCCTTCACAGAGCCATAGTGAAACAGAAAGGCTATGTGGAACAAGAAGAATTAACCTCAGAAGAGAGATGCATGAAGTTTCTTGAGAAGGGTAATCAAAGATGGGGACAAGAGAAGATGGCAGAAAGAGTCATGGCACATGAAGCTAGTGTGAGGAGACGAGGAGACAATCACACAGAAGAGAGGAGGAGACAAAATCGAGCAGATACTCCAACGCCTTGGAGAGGAAATGGCACAGGAGCATCAAGCTCAAGAGGAGAAGAAGAACATGAAGAGAATCTGAGTGGCATGACAGCTACAGTTCTACTGGATGACGGAAGAGAAGTTGAGATTCCAGTGGATAATTTGAGCGCAGAAATAGTACCAAGAACAATGGATGAGAGGCAGCTCACAGCTCCTGCACCATTTGCGCCACCAGATGAACCAGAAAGAGAAGTGGAAGGGCCAGAACTTCCAGACAATGACGTTGATATGACAGATGCGGCAGCAATGAGAACAATTGGAGAAGGAGAAGCAACAGATGGACCAATGGACCCATAGATGTCGATGACACTTTGAGGGCCAGAGCATCATTGCAGGCGCGAGAAGAATTGTTGAAAATTGAAGACAGTATCGAGTTCTACAACAGAGTTGGTGACAGAGTGAAGCTGCGAAAACTCTACGAAGAGCTGCAGAAAGTTGTGATTTTCATCACTGATTGAGGGCAATTGAGAAAAATGAGGATAGCAGTCCTAACTGAGCCACCAAAGGAGGAGTACGTAGCATTTTCAGTTGTACCTGTACTCAAGTCTCACAAGTGACTTACCGGAGGCCGTGTAGGTTCGAGAAAAGGACCGCTTTCGCAATATATAATTCTTGCTTCCTATAGGTCAAAAACCTCACTTTACTGGACCTTGATCATGAAGAGAAACACACTCCTCAATTTCGGCTTTCAGGACCTGGCTTCACTAAGTCAGACTCGACCTAGACTCGGGGCTTGGGAGAAGCTCTTGTGATGCACCACTCATCCACTGTCCCACCGGCACCACTCACTCACAGCTCTGACTCGCCAGCCTCTTGTGCGGGACCTTCGACCGTCGGTGATGTCAACGATGGAGTTTTGTGTTTTTGAAGCTCGAGGTCTGTTTGGATAGGACTTGGAAGGCTACTGGTTAGACTCAAAGGCTTCTGAAGTGCAAAGCAAAAGGTGTGCTCCACTCTTCAAAGAGCTCTTTTGGCTGAAGTGGAACATGAACAAAAATCAAACTCGTCAATGTCGGTGTTTAGGACCCTCTAGACTGGGAACTGAGTCAGACTGGACCTTTAAGAGTGGTCAAGGAGTTGGCAGAGGCGAAGCGGCGTCAGCCTACCAGATCGCAGAGCCGATGGGGTTCGAAAGAATCCAATTCGTCGAGTGGAGAACGACTTTGTTTTTTCAGAAGACGCTTCGGGGACACCTTTGGGACATTAGACGCTGGCTAAGTAGGTATAGAACTACTTGTCAATGTAATTAGGCAAACATTCCATACATCATGGCTTAAGGATAATTAATTTGGCGTTTTTTGGGAGAACAAATCAACCAACTTTGTGCAACTTCAACGTTCACCAAATAGGTTGTTGGGGACGCCCACGGACGGACTCTCCCAGCCTTGGATCGGATCTTGTAAGGTTAGCCCCTTCTCAAAAGAGAAAAACCGTCCTCATCAGCGCTAGTGCCCAATGCCGATTCTAACTGATCACCGATCAGACAAAAGAGCAGATGCGAATTTCTGACACCACGTCCATCCACCGAAGGCCGCATGGAATTCCCTTCGAGGACAGGCGCTTGGCCTCCGTTTGACTGTGGCTGGCCGAGGATTTTTTCGTTTGGCTGCAAGCTGAGCCAACAGGCCGAGAAGAGGTCGAGCCACGAACACAATCAAGTGCGCACCGAGTTCGCACCATGGTTCGTTTGGCGGAGGCATCAACGAAAGTTGTTTCGTTGACATGTCCCATCCTACACAAAGAGCCTCACAAGTTCAAGAAAGTTCACAAAGAGCCTCACGTTCGCATGAAAGACCGGTCACCACAATTGTCACAATACGTCACAATGTCTCTCTCGGCTCGACAAAGCTCTGGCGGCCCTTTGAGCAGCTATTCGAACCCCGATCCCCCAAAATCCTCTGTGTTGGAGCTGGTTGGACTCACAAGCGTTTGCGTGAAGGTTTTTCAATATTTCCTTTGAGTGTCCGACTCAGTCTAGTGTAAACACAATCTATAGTGGTCCCCAAATAGATAGAAGCCCCTACTTTGCAGGGCCAGGTCTATAGTGATGGCCTTCTTGATCGTTGTTTGTTGGTAGGCTTTTTCTACGCTGGAGGCTCCAAGCATGTCCAACACAGACTGCTTATGCTGAACAATTCACGGAATTGGCTTCGAGCAGACAGACTCAGCCGACCTTCCTTGCTTTCCACCTGAAGGTTCACTGCACCAACTCCGGCACAAGGGTCGGCCCTCGGCCATCCTGGCTGGCTTGCAAACGCTGGCGACTACCGGGTTTATGATATGTTTTCCAAACCAAGGGGGCCAAGTGGTGAATGGATCATACTGGCGACCCTGTAGGGTATGTGCAGGACATTTCGTGGAGCCCCTGCAAGAACTCCTATAGTAGGAGGGCACAAGAAGGGGTGCTTCATGCAACTTGGACCCTGATGTTTGGATGTCCTCGGGAGGATGCTGAGACGGCTTAAAAACTGCCAGCCCCACCAGAGGATCCATGCTATTGCATGTGGTTCGTTTCGTTTGATGAACATAAACCTGATCATTTCAGATACGTTAAGGCCGTTGACTGAAGCAAAGACATCGTCATTCAAGATGTTTGAAGATCATGCACATGCATTTTCCGTGTCTAAGACAAAGATAGACATGGAACAAGGACAGCTATTTGTTTGAGGAGTTTTGGGGTGTCGTGTTCAATATTCCTTTGATTTCGACAGAGGTGACATC